CTCTCTATCACAAACGCTCTTCCTGCGTCCCACACCAGCAGGGCTCTTTTCAAACATAGGCCCACTCTGCTCATAATGGCCTCATCATCATTATCTCACAGCTGGCCTTCAGCACCGCGCTTGTTTCTCAGTTAACTCTCATTTCCTGCTCTCCTGCTTTCAAAATGTTCTTCCCCTCTCCCATCTTTGTATCCTCCGATCCTTGCCTGTGTTTCCCCCCCTCTCTGTCTCCCTCTCTATTCGGTCATCAGTGAAGGCTTTTTTTTAATCACCACATTTATTTGACTGACTGAGTTGTTATTGTCAGACTATGAAACAGGCTGGCACACTGACTTATTATGTCAGGAAGCAAATTACCATCTGCCAGTCTGGGTCTGGTCTGAAAACTCTTGACTGGTTGACCTGACCTGTCAAGAGTTTTGCAAAGGTTACTTCAATTCAGTAAAATCTGAGTCCCAGAAAGTTGGTAAAATAAAAGCTGGGATTTAATCCATTAAGTTTAAGTAACTGAGTGTGTGTTTATCCTTGGGGAGCGCCGGTTCAGCTCACTGGAATGAGCAGGCGACCATATGCCCCACGGCTGAGAGCGGCCTGGGTTAGAGTCTGATACGCGGTCCTTTGCCACATGTCTTCCCCTCTCTCTTTCCGCCACTTTCCTGTCAGTCTTCACTGTCCCTATCAAAAATAAAGCCATAAAAAGTCCCCCTCCAGTCCCTAAAAGCCCACTCTCTTTTGATTGGCCATCTTCTGGAAGCCCACTGAGGGGCAATGACCTTATAAGGAAATCTGATTCAGAAAGAAAACAGACTAGAAAGCTATCAGTGGCTTACTTTTACATTATTTTTATGCTTATACAAATGTTTACTTCATTATTTGCACCTTTAATACTTTCAACACTTTCTACAAAACAAAACAAAGACGATAGAATTTGCATAATCTCAGCTGCAGTTTAACGCTCTGTTCATTTGTCTAGATCTGAATATCTGAGTGTGACACTGATAACCAATCTGTGTAATTTGATACTCTGTATGTTTACATCTTACAGCATAGGTGTCAAACTCTGGCCCGCGGGCCAAATTTGGCCTAATTATATTTGGCCCGCGAAGCCATACCAAATTACTATTAGAGCTGGCCTACTGGTATTATACAGCTAATATATATATTGTTTAATATTAAGCTTTGCTTGTTCCATATTCAGTTTTTCAGCAAAACTTGTTTGAGTCCATAAGAAAAGATTCATTCTTATATCTAGAGGAAGATTTTTTTTTCAATAAATATTAATGTTAGCCTGCGAATTTGTTCCAGTTTTGAATTTTGGCCCACTGTGTATTTGAGTTTGACACCCCTGTCTTACAGGATTCTAAAACAAATATTAAGAACTGATCTGTGACTACTGAAGGAAATACAACATTTCCTTCCACTGTTATGCTGATGACATCCACATTTACTTCCCCTTGAAACTGGATGTTTCTGTCCCACTGCAGTCTCTGCTTAACTGTCTACATGATGTTAACCCTTTAAGACCTACCATAGAACCAAGTCCGCCAGAGCTTATATTATATTTTTACATGTTGTAGTGCCATTTTTGGGAGCATTTCAAGTTGATATACATCAATACAACCATTAAAGCCTAAATTTTAATAATATGTATGCATTAAGTGCATAGTAATTACATAAATTGCAAGAAAGTGCAATAAACTACAAAGAAATTGAAAATCATTTTTTGTTTTTTTAACATTTATTTCTAGTTAGAGAAATTTAAGAGGCTTATCCCTCAAAACTGTAAATACAAAAAAGTTGCACAAAATA